AACGCATACCCAGAGTCTCTTAACTTCGTTTATCACTGGTTCACGTCTTCCGTAAATTTATTTCTAGGATAACAACGTTCTGCTATCTTTTCGGTAATTTCCCATGATTAGACTTTGGTCTGTGTTCTACCACCTTCCGTCCGCTTTGTTTTCTTAGTTTTCAAGTTAATCTTTAGACCCAGATCAAAGCACCTGTTTCAACATCAAAATCAGTGATGTGGTTGCTTCGAAGTTTTTTGCTTAGCAACGTGATATCCTCCACAAATGCCAGAGAGTTTGCGCAGATTTTGCCCACTTTTGCCACCGTAGCTTTCTTCTTCGTATTGTCTGGAGCACCTAATCAATAAGCGTCAGTGGAGATTCCGTTCTTCCATGTCTCACTGCAAACTCTGTACGAAAGAATTTGCTGAATCAGCGATCAGTTCGCACCGTACTTGGCGAAAGACTGCTCTTTAACTTTCCATGGGGCATCTCCAAATTGAGTCAAGAGCTGCCGTGTAGTTTACTGAGGTTGCAGATGGTTTTGATCTCCGTTTTCTGCTCTTTTCCGTTACCTATATAATTGTGAATATATGGTTTAAACATCCTCTGCTTTCCTGAACACAGACCGCCCAATATCATCTCAAGACACTGTCTAGTACTGTTCATCGTAATACGTATGAACACTTTAGCAGGAACTATAGCAGACGTACACCATTGTAGTTATTTGCACCTGTGCAACAGTCGTTAAGTATTGGAACAACGATGACTTTTGTCCAGACATTCAGGATCTTCTCTTTCTCCCATATTAATCCAAAGAGATTCACTAACGCTAGTGCTCCGTTCATTCCAATCTCTTTACTTACCTCTGGTCGTATTTCGGCTGTTCCCGCAGCTTTGCCATTTTTCAGTTGGTTTAAGGCTTCAGTCACTTCGTCAAAGTTCTACAGTCCAGCATCGGCATCCATCTTTCGCCCAAGAATATAATACAGTAAATCTTGTTTTACAACCACACAGACTTATTAGCACTTCACACTGTTTCGCAATATCTCAATGACTTCTGTAGAAACAGACGCGATGTTATCCTTCTCTTTCTTAACAGTAAATGCTTCATTTTCTCTAGGCGATGGACTTTCCTGAACAAAGTTTTAATATAGTTTTTTTCCATTATTTCAACCTGCCTCTTCCAGGAAATTACTTCATCCTTCCTAATGATTTTTTAGTTACTATTGAAGCGTTTTCTACCCTGTTCTTGCAGCGGTTTAGCTTTCAAACTGCTCCGCGGTTACTCGTACTTCAATTTATGTTCCAAGCTTTCTCTAATGATATACCGCCTGTATAATAAGCAAGTCACGAAACAATAGCACTGACGATGAAATTAGTAGTTAGGTGCGAGTGATTAAGCCTGCCTGCTGATGTATGGCTTCCAGGTCAGTGATTAAGTCACTGACAGATATGCTGTACCTATTTTTCTGTTTCAGAGCCACTGCTGTTATCATACGCAAGTACTCGACGCCCGTCTTCTGAAGCAGCCGTAATGACCCATTTGAGGCATGCAGTTTAAAGCAAGAATTTCGAAGGAAATAGGAAAGTAGAAAGAGCAGAGAGTTTTTAGAGGGGTGAGTCTCTAAATATGACGTGACAGATTCATACCTTGTTGAGAACGTCGTGCTGCTCTTCATGTTTGATACAAACCCAGAAGATGATGGTGAACGAAAGAATGAAGATGACCACAGCGAACGACAGGAAAGCAATGAATGGTCCAAAATAGTCGATCCAGATCAGATCGTTCATGTCTGAAGCCGACAGCCAGGCGTACAGGTACTCCCACCAAGGCGACCACGGTTTACATCAACCGAATCGTCCTGCCTGGCTCACTCACGAGGAACCTGACGCCGGTCACCAAACTAGTTCATGGTTCGTCGTAGCACCCTAAATTCCAGTTCTTCGCAACGACGCGGGTTGTCAAGCGACAAGGAGAAATATGGCCCCCTTCGAAAGAAGATTACTCAAGCATAAATTTCGTAAACGAAGACGCGATTCCTACGCATGCCGTGGCTGCAAGGCCCGTTGTACGAGCTAACGAGTTCACGGTTTACAACGACCGGCTTTTGACCAGCGTACCGTCCACCAGTGACGTCAAATTTTTTTGGCAACGTCATTTTATTGCAGATGTCGCCATTTTTAGGCTGTATCCATTCATAACTGCTTACTCGCTTTTCATTGTCTCAATTCAGATTTACCCTGCACTCTGAAATTCATAATATACTCCAGAGGATGATGCCAGTTTTAAGTTCAAGAATTTACCTGTAAAGTGCTTCACTCGCACTATACCGCGAAATTTCAAAAGCTAATTCGAAAGTTTACAATTTGTACACTTTAACATGCTACTGACGAATACCTGTCCATGAATAAATATTGACCGCTTAAAGGAGCTTTTTTGTACATACAACAGTCCAGGTTTCGACTGGAAACCACCGACAACTGCCATCCCTCATCAGTCAGAATAGTTTTACTCACGAAATTAATTTGTGGGACGTTGCGTTCGGTCGTCTGAAAAGTTCCGACAAATCAAGCAGTACGTTTCTTGCGTGGCATTTTGCTTGTCGTGCTTTTATCTGCTGTTGAGCTTGTTGGCATTTAAATTGTTGCTGTCACTCCATGATCCAATAATTTTTTCTAACCTTCGAAACGGTTGATCAGGCTTATACTAGCCTTTGATGTTCCCACATGTATAATCCATGTTCATGTTATTGTCCACTGTACGAATCAACAGGAATTTTAGTAAGGGTCATTTAAATAAGTCAGCTGACCGTGTCATAGGTTTTGCTTCAAAGAAATCAGTGCGAATGATGTGACGATTTGCAGGTGATGAATAAATATATTTGTGCACTTAAATTAATTTTGTACCTGATCCGATAAAAAATACAGAAACCCAAACACTATAAATTTTAAGAAGGCCGCAGCTAATATAAAGTCTCACGTAAACAAATGCAAATTCGAAAAACGTTTCATTCATGAAGACGCGATGTTGAACCCCGGAAGAGGTTTGCGAGTCACTTTACGAGTGAAATTCTGAAGATACATGGATAATGTTACCCATCTACGGCTTTTCGACGATGTTTTGACTTTACATTGCATCAGAAAGAACTATAAAGTAGAATCAGAGAACTGAATGAAGCCAACATCAAACCAGGGCTGAAAATAAACCTGAAGAAAGACGGGACATGCTTAACCAACAGATAGCCTTTTGATTCGATAAAAGCCGATTTAGGCTTGAAGAGGTGAAAATCCATGCCAATCCGTAACAGCTCATACTTGCAACGATGAGCCAACTGTAGCAGAAAAATGAAAATGTCATGGAGCACTTTTGGAAGATGACTACCCTTGTGCTTGAAACGGCTCGTCTTCTTTCAATGCATGGCTTCAGCGATAATGTATGGATTCGAAACGTCAACCTCAAACCTAAAGCTACTCACAAATTGTTAAGTTTTGTGCAGCAAGAGGAAATGAGAAAACGAATGAAAGCATATGGACACAAACAGTAAGTCAGCACTGGGATTTCATTGCAAGACATAGGAAATGAAATAGGACAATAGGATTAAAATAACTGAAATGACAATAGGATTAAATAGCCTCAGTAGGCTCTGCTTTAAAATATGGCACTCGTAGCTAATGGCATGGAATGCAAGAAATGAAGATCAGCTCTGCAGCATTAACTGCCTGAAAAGAAGGGCTCCAGAAATGGCCTCATCATGAAACTGCAAAGAAGAACGAAATTCTTCCTGTACAAACCTTCCTTTTTTCTCATCTCTCATTTTCAAGCGTTTTAATCGCCGCTGCTACTCTGAGGTCATTTGAGGAAGAAAATGCATACCATGGCTACTGGGAGGATATCCAAAAATCACATTTAGGTTCTAAAAAATGATCAGCTGTCTCTGGAGAATGTTTTCCACGGAAGATTTCCATTCGGGCTATCCGCAGGCAGGCAATGCCTGATCGGCTCCGCCATAAAATGCCTGGATTGTCTGCCAATCAGCGATCAGAGCTATTCCTCTCTCTGTACAACATATAGCATGCACAGCTTTCGTTGCCTGCACTACTATTTTCCGAGCCTCAGGGTGCCTTAGACGCGTCTAAGCGGAAGCCTTGTTCTACGGCCAAGCAAAATAAACCTTATTCACGCTGACGATGTTCTGGGTTTCCGGATTCCACAAAGGAATCACTTTGTGCTGCCAGTAACATCGTGGCGCCTCAGCCTACAGGTAAAAGAAACCGAAGCAGTGATCATCGTTTCAAAGAGTTCCTACTCTTTCTTTGTGTCTGAGGCTTGGCTAGGCATATGAATAACCTCTCAGTTATTTTCAACAGCCTTTTTTTCTAAGGCTTCGTATTTTATCTGATTGACAGGTTTTAACGCGGTGTACCTTTGAATCGTAATGTAACAGGGCACGGCATGAACCAGTTAGGCTAAGAAAAGCGAATAGTTACCGAACATTAGTTAAATGACTTCCACATGGCAAGTCGAACAACAAGCGGCGGAACTCCTGGGCATCACTACCGGACAGGCAAATGGTGCTGGCTGCAACGAGTTAATTACACATTTCCATGAGATATATCGTCTACAATGAAAACTGAATCAAAACACGGTTGATTTATCTCAACACGAACAGCGGGTCAAGCAAATGATTGACCAGTACTAGAGTTTCGCCCGTGTCGTCCCGGTTTTCTTCAGTCCCTGTACCGGTCAACCATCCAAATGACCCTACTGTTTTCCTTATGCATAAATGAATCCTATCTTTGTTCTGTTTTCAGTTTATGCTGCGTGAACGTCGAAATACGGACGAAAAACTCAACGTCTTGCTCGATGTTTGTTTGGCGATACGTTGAGTGTAGCCTCTGGCGAGATCAACAAAAATCAACACTTTTGTTTCGCCAAATAAAAGCGAAAAAGAAACAACCTGTAGTTCCCTGTGGCATGTATGTTTTCAGACCGTTTTCGAACAGTCGTTGCATCTGACGGCTTGCCATTCAGCTCTTCGCTCATCGTGCACAGATCGGTTCCCGTTTGTTGCACTCTTGGCCTTGAACACGGAAGTCGTGAGTAGCAGATGGCCGCGGTATCGCTCTCTCGTGGACGACCCAGTTTCGCGGAATCGAATTGCACAGAGGCCGCGCTCTGACCGTCTGATGTGCTGGATTCAGGCCTACCTCTAAACTGTCACACAACGTACAAATTTCATGTCAAGTACTGGGACGTCAGATCAAATGCACCGCCAGGGCATGGTTCTGTTGCACGTGAAAAAAACTGTCCAAAAAAGAGGATCGTCAAAAAAAACGTTTTACAGCGGGAGGCAGCATGGTCAGGAAAGGTGTTTCGATGCGTTGCAAAAAAACAGTGACGTAGTGAGACTCATGATATGACGCCAAGAAAATAAACAGATTACCAAATCTAAGGAGCCGTACACTACCCATTTCTAAATTAGACGATAGCGTAAAATGCATAATATTCAATGCATTAAACAAGGATAAAAATGTAGCACTGACTCGAGTTCATACCATGGTATGCAATTTGTGACCTCAAGAGTGAGGAGCAGAAATTTTCAGTAGATTTCTCAAACGTCAGAGATGTGCACGCTCAGGTGCACGCTGATTTTACGTGCGGCGCTGCACTCTCTTTTTCTCTCTCTCTGAAAACTAGTTCGGAATACCTACACGAATACCAAATACATGATCATGCTTTCTGCAACTGTTACATTAAAATAACGAATAACATCTCTGATACTCAAAAGCGAGTAGCCAGCAATTGAGCGGTAGTGAATATCATCAGGTATTAAGCCTGCCTATATCAGT